GTCAAATAAAAGATGATAATTTTATCACAGTGAGCATTAATAACTTCGACATCAATGAGGAAACAGTCACAGAATAAGAATAAGTAGGCCATCTTCTGTGGAAACAGACGAAAAAAATTCAACGCACAGTCCTTTTTCAAAAGCGAGATACATCGGCAGAAGAAATCCAAATTCCTCGTTTACCTATCACTAGATAACGACCAGATAACTGACTTTAACAGCCTAAGTACATGCTGATAATCCTAAGTAAGTTCCGGTATCTACCATTCAATATTATGTATGTCGTTTTTGAATTCTCCACCAACGAGCTACAATACCATCCTAACCATGGTCTAGTAAAATCAAAAAACAAGCCTGAATCTTTGGGACAAAATCATACCGTTGTCACTGCTGATCTTGCAATATACAGCACAGCACAAGAGATACCTAATGTGGAGTAACCCCCAAAATTTACAGGAAAGGTACCTATTTGTACCTATATATTTCACCAAAGAACTGAGATACATGGAGTTAATGAATTGTTTGAGATTTTACAATGCAACTCGGCGGAATGCATTTGTAAACGGCCTAAATAGCTAGTTTTGGTATTCGGAGAGAAATTTCTTAGTAAAGTAGAACCTCTTACGCATCGCTCCTTGTTTAGCGAACGCTGCTGACTATCCTTCCCTCTCCGTCTCACTCGCGACTCCCGACTCGGCGAGGTCGGTAGGGTTTTACTTAAATGACCGTAACTTTTTTATTATGAAAAATTCACGGTAATGTTATAGAAAATAAAATAATCACAATGCTTTGGAGCATCGAATGAGCTATAAATATTGGAAATCGATATCGTGAAATAAAAAGTTATGAGAGTTCAAAGTGCGCACTTTTCATCTGCTACACGAATTTTGGAAGTTGACGGTATTTTTCTAAAAACTGTGCATAACAAGGTAGGTAAATATGAATGCTTTAGATTCTGCTATAAATGTACTTTCATTTTACAAAAGGAATTATTGATGTATATCGCTTAGTTGCTGAGAAAATAAATACTTTCGGTGGTCTAGTCGCGCGCGCGAAAATGAGTAAAGTTCAACTTTAGCGGCCTATAACTTTTGTCAGGACCACGGGAAAATGTCGTAAAGCGAGATTCTGAAGGTTCAAACATTTCTGAACAAAATGGTGTGGGTCCCAATTCTTTCTACTCCGAAGAAATTTTTTGAACGATTTCGCGGCTCTCTCCGCTGCACTATATACTACGTTTTACTGAACAGTGCTATTGCTACTACCTTACAGTAGTTCCTCCTAAATAACAATAGTACCTACATTATATATCAAGGTAGAGAAGTCTACTATTATTGCCTGAGCACCAAGATTACATCTCGAGGCGCTTGCGCCGAGGGGTGTAAGGTGCGAAGGCAATAATAGACTTCTCTACCGTGGTATATATACTATTTTTTTCACTACTAGCACTTGAAATCCTCTAAATTAACATATTATATTGATAAGAAAGTGAACGGTTGGATAGAATTGTTTGTTTCTTAATTTAACATGTCAATCAAGTACGTGGAAGTACAAGTCAAACAGGCCGTATTTTGTTCTGTCATTGAGATTTTTCAAAGAGTAATTTCGTTCGAATTTTTTCAAAATGTGATAATTTTAGGTATGTAATTTCTCTGGAAATTGCGAATGGTGGCAATTATTCGTTTTAGAGAACTTGTCTAAACGTTCATTGAGCGAAATTTCGGGTTGTGTTTTCTAAAAGTGACAGCGTGACAGTTCTCATTATTGACTACTAGTTAATAATGTCCACATTATTAACCACTTTGAACAAATGCCGAGAAAGCCTACTTTACAAGTGGAAAAAAGGTTAATAATCATGTCATCAGACGCTAGTAGTGAAAAAAATAGCTTTATCTGCCTATCCTTCCACATATTCAGATGTTTTTGACTGAAAAGTGTTACTGAAATGAAATGTTGGGATATGTTCCTTAAACTGCGAAACAAAAATACTATTTTGATTTTGCACATTTTTACTGGATGAAAGTTGAGCGTTTTGAAGGCGTTGTAATTGGAAATTTGTCTATCAAACAGGTCACTTTTAAGATTCACGTAGGGGTGCTAGCTGGTAGCATAAGCCAGACATGAAAACACTATTTTAGACCTTTAAACACTTTTGCTACATGAAAATACATCGTTTGAAAACGTTGTTGGGCATGTAAATGATCTTTCAAAAATGATCTTTTCAAATATGTGAGGCAACGAAAACGTGGTTTACGTAATTAGTACAAGGCAAAGAAATACTATTTTCACTTGACACTTTACAAAAAGGTCCGCTTTCAAATTTGAGTAGGGGTGCTGGTTTTCGAGGAAACCCTGACAAATAACTTGTATGAGGAAGAGATGAAAACACTAGTTTCAACAAGAAAAGCACCTTTTAAAGCATTCTTGTGCCTATCTAATTGGAAAATTCCTTTATTACTCCACTGTGTAAAGATGACCGTTTTCGAGGAAAATGTGGCAAATATCTAGTATGCAGTAGAGATGAAAACACTATTTTGATGTGAAAAATAATGCACTTTAAAGAAATGCTCGTGACGAATAACCATCAGTAGCTTGTTACTCAGTTAATCGCAGATAACAGGTTTATAACGAGCAATAGCGAAGCACAAAATCTAATCCGAGTCTAATCACTTCTATCTTAGGTCGTGGCCTATTTGTGTGTCAAATTTCAGCTACATAGCCCATAGGTCAACGCATTACTTAATAACTGTATTGGAACCGAGATTGGAACCTCTTGGGCAAAATGCTTTTTAAAAATACAGAAATTCACTTGTTAAACATCAACTAAAAAGCGTTCCCGCCCAAATGCACCCAATTCGCTTCTTGGAAATCGACCTAATAATGCGTTTCAACGTGCGTTCCTAACGAATCGGTGACACATTACAATGTTGACATCTCTGATCTCTTGGATGTGTTTAATAAAGTGCTCAATTGTGTATATACATATTCCATAGTCATTAAACTTCAACAACAATATGGAAAAATTGTTATCCAGTGCCACTACATTTTTAATTTTTATTCAGCTGAAATGAAACCAAAGTGCATGTATCGTCGCAGGTAAAAGCTGTTGATATTTCACTTCACATCAGCAAATTTCGATTCCTAAAGTACGCATCCTTAAAGTGCGCAACTTCACATAGACTTCGGATCATCACAGATTTAAATCTGGGTATCATTTACGAGTAAAAATTGACATACCGTTACAAACCGTTAGTGCAGAGGTCTTAAAGGGTGAGAAAGCCAGGTAAAAAAAATGTTGCCATTAGTTGAGACATCGGCAGCAACAAAATCCATGGAAACAATGAATATATAAATACAAAGCAAAGGAAGGATGCAAGACAATTCAAAGCATGCCTACCTCTACAAATTTCAAAAATGTAAAATCTTTACAAAATGGGTGTCCAGGGTTAAATAATTTATAAACGGTCTAAATCCTTTCCAAAAAAGGGAAGCTGTAAATTAAATATCTGAGGATAAAGTCATTTGTTTCGCCTTTATGCTATTACGTAAAGCTCTGCAGCAGACAATTTGCAAAAACAAAATACCTACACTATAATAAGTAAAATCTATTTACACTTTCTAATTTAAATGACCTTAGCCAGTGAGCATTAAATGGCCAGTAAAGTAAGGCCATTACGTAGATAGTAATTTATTCAACTATGAATTGAAGATGATGTGGTAGTGGTATTCCGTATTCCGAACCTGAGCTTGTGGTCTGTCTGTTCCGAATCACTATAGATACCCAACTACCAAAATACACACCCTTAATTTTTTTAAAGGAAGGTGAATTGGAGAAAATAACGCGCGAAAGTTGTTAGGGAAAGCGTTAGATTTCCATATTTGCGGTAAAAACCAGCAACAGTAAGGTACGCTAATGAGATCTAACGACTATAAGTATTAATACCGTATGTCTACAAATTCTCATTTTGCTTCTTACGCGCCATTAACTTTGCGGTTGCATTACTCCGCCAAGACATGCACGTGGTCATCCGACAACTTCCACTTTCTTGCACCGCACAGGTACCTCAAGAATTCAGATACCTATATCAACTAAGTGATTATGCTTCATTGTCCTTAAGCCATCAAAAATTCTGATAAGCCACATTAGTGACAAGGTGATTAATTCGCGATAGCGCGATGATATTATCAATTCAAAAATTCACAGGTAAACTTTTAATTGCACAATTTTCCCAAGCGAAGGACGTCACAATATCAACTTAAATTAGATTTACGTGTAGTTTACCGTACAAAATCGCAAAAGCGGATAAAGGTACACTGAACTACGTAATTGAATCAATTAAATAATGAAAAAAATTGCAGTTTTCTTTTGAAATGAACGCAATTTTTTACATACCATTACGCATCACTTAACATCAGAAAATGTGCTAAACTTACCTCAGAAGGTGGAAAGTCGAAGTATTCCGCAATTTTTTGATAAAGTTCTTTTACATTAGAGAATCCTGAAATGAGCCCTGTGGGACTCCCGTGCGCCAATTGACAATAAAAAACGAGTTGCGGCCGTGATAGCGTGGAATTTTCATTTTTTGAGATATTGTTATTTTCGTAATGATCAGTCGGTGGTGCGGCGGCTTTCAGGCGATTTTTTTTAAACATTTTGTCGGATGATCGCACAATGTACGTCAGTCATTCACTACACAATATTATAGATAAACTATTGGAAACGTTCACATTTCTATGCCAAAAAAAAAATATTATCACTTATCACAATCGTTAAGTACTTGATAACGTATCCTAGATATCGCTCTTTTTTTAAACTGGTAACCCGTTCGGTTAATCTTACCTTTACTACGATTTATAGCGCACTGGAGGTAGGCGCTCTAAAGTGGAAAGCAGTTTTGATACCAACAAATTGTTAATTATATGGAAAGAGGTATTTGTTGACATAAAATTACATTAATTACCGCAAAATTCTCGGAGAATTAAAATGCTATTAGAATTCATTATTTCATACAAAAATTAACTTTATTAATTACATTACAGTCATCGTACACTATCATACATTTTCTACATTTTTGTGTTTTATATATGACAAAAATACATTATATATCATTGTTACCCCATTTATATATAAAACTTGGTACTTAACAGGTAAGTAATAAAAATTGATGAATTGCGTCGGAGGCCAAATGCACCAGTCGAACTGAAAACAAAAAACGCAAGTTAGGAGGATAGATAGGCAATTGACAGTACACGGCTGTATGCTACAAAAGTAGCAAATGTAATGTCCTGACAACCGCTGAAGTTGTCCCACAATGGGGAGGTCATAGGCACGAAGACAAGTCATGCTATGCAATTATATGCGGAAGTAAATCACAGATCTGTCACCCACGTCAAAATAATGAGTAGATGTACATAGGGGTTGTTACGAACAGCTTCGCCAAAACCTACCCTCTTTATCGTTGTTGTACAATCACTGGTTGCAATAGCAATTTTACCATTGGTCACTGTAACCCCCTGTACATTCAAAACTTAATTTTTTTTATGAACGTAGTAGGTTTAGATAAGGCCTACCACAAAATGGAAATGACTTGTAAATTTGCATTACTACCTATATTCTTCTATATATGTATTTGGAAAATATTATAAAAAAATGTATAAATATACTGGAAGCAACATCAAAGTCCCTTTTCACAAAAAAATTAAAAATCGCCTTATATTAAACAAATCCCATTAGCTTATTCTACTTAAACAGTTTTGAAAGTTGCTTCAATCTTCAATAGAAAAAAGTTATTAGACATCATAATTCAGTAACGCCTCCTCGAGTTTAACCATTTCCAACCAAAATCTGTTGGTGTATATGGCGTTCTAATAAAATTTGAGCTCGAGAGAAACTTCAAAAGAAAGTGTCTACTTTGGCTCACTGTGAACAGCACCTTCTCAGTCACTTATTGCTCTAGGTTGAAAGGTTATAACTCAGTGTAAATGCAAACTATATTTACTACAGGGTGGCGCAAAAATAATCACTTACATAAATTTCACTACCATATAGAAGGCGACGGTCACTGATCCGCTACCACCAATATTACGCAATTCAAATTTGCGCCACCCAGTATATGTATTACAAAAATGTCCAAGCGAACCCTTTTGTATATGTGGGCAATTGGGGAAAAGGTACCAGTGAAAAGATTGCATGTGTATGTAATATGTTGTTAAGGGTCAAAGTTGATGTGATAGCGAACACAGGTGCGATTTGCGAAGCAGTTTACATGCGAATGTAACCCACTGGGTTTTTATTGCCACTGGGTAAAAACCGTAGTATGCCCTTAGGCAATAAACAAGGTCGTGTGACCGATGACAGCGGATTTTTCCGCTTTTTCCTCCCGCTTTTAGTACCATCGGCACAACTACCACAAAAAAGTACGTTACCACATCCGCCTGGCTAATTAATATCAAATGAAACATTTTTTCCAAATAAAGTTCAAACGTTCTTAATTTTTTTCTAGGCAATCGGATGAATTTGTAACGGGCTCAGGCATTAAGCATTCGATTCGATAAAATGTTTAGAACTGCAGTTTAATTGCATCATGTAGGCGTAAACAAAACTGGATTCTGATAAAATGATGAAGTGCATATTTTGTAACCCACCCATGGAATGAACTTGCACTTTCTGTACTATTCACCACAAACAATGTCGGGAATGTCATGTCAATGCGCATGATCGGTATTCTACCGTTGCCTATCTCTCTCACATATGTTGACACAGATTAGGGGGCTGTAGGCTATATGGAATATATATACCGGGTGAATATTTAAAAACCGAACATAGGCAATTAACATGGGAAAAACGTTTTTTGCTTCCCATGTTAACTTACTGCTGCGTAATTAACAACTTTAGGGGTGGGGCCACGTCATGTGGGGTCCGCGACATCCGGACGCCTTTCCCGAACGTGGTTTGCTAACGTGGTGATTTTTCAGTTTTTTCCTATCTTCTACAGATTTGGTCCGACTGTTTTCAACTTTGAAACTGGTGTCGGCGGTAAATGCGCACAACTACTGCGTGACGGAATTTTGTTTTTATCACTAAGGGCGAAATGAACCACCTTTTGCAAGGCGCGCGTCTTTGAGGGGTAGGCGCGGTAGGCGACTTCGAGCGCCCTAAAGTTACCTTCCGCGGCGAATTTTGTCATGCGGTTTAAAGTTAGTTTAAGCTCGAATCGCACGTTCTCTCTTTCTCGTGTCTCCAATAGAAGCTCGAGCTATGAAGTGGGACAAAGGAAATGTTGTAACCCCAGACAAGATTTGACTGATGGTGGAGTCAAAACGTCATTGTACGAGTATAATAACGATCTATAAAAATCTATATTTTAAGTGTAAGGGTGGTTCAAATTCGTTGCTCACTGGGATCTCCGTGACGGTAATAGATACGGTTAAATGGGGGCACAGTTTCCCCTTTGTGTCTAAGAAACGCATTTGAAACTTTTGAAAAATTTGGAAATTAACTGAGATATCACCAAAAAATTGAAAAAGTCAAATTTCGTTTTTATTTTTCCTAACATAAACAGTCCAACATAGACGGTTCCCGTTAGCACATTCTAGGAGCACTTTTCTTCAGAGAATCTAAATGCGTTATCAGAATTTCCATAACATGCTAGATGTAGAAGCTACTACATTCATATTTCTTATGGATGCCACATTGGATTTTTACGGAAAGATAGACGGCAAAAATGAAAAAAGAAAAGTCATTTGAATGCATCGTCATAAAAAAATTGCCCCATTTAAGTACCTATCCTATATCTCTTACCGTTATGAAGATCCCAATGGTGAGCCACGAATTTGAGCCACCCTGTACAGGGTGGCCAATTAAGAATGTGAGGTACTGTATCTGAGAATCTATCCATCGTAGAGGCTTGCGGTAAAAAATTTATTACTAAAACGGCCACGAGCAAAACCTGGAAAATATATTTAAGTTTCTGAAATGGCCGCTAGGGGGCGTAACTGCAGTCTGGAATCTAAAAGTGATTTTTCTGTGAAATCCGCTATATTAACCTAACAAAAAAGTGTCCGGTCTTTGAAGTTGACGATAATCTGAACAATTTTTCCTGTATCTCTAAAAATGAAGTGGTGGGGGGGTATTCAAAGATTTCTGTAAAGAACACCCTGTATCTTCGAAACGGCTGAGTCGATTTAAACAAAGTCGGGTTAGTTCAAAAGAGCTACTCTTCACCTACAAATATTATACTATTTGAAGTTTTGTTAGTTTCATATATCACCGCTTGAAGGCTTTTTTCGACATTCCGACAGAAATTATGATTATGAGATGCGGTTTTCGCGAGCTTGTTTAGGCATCATTTAGCTACTTTTTTATGAAAAAAAAAATCAAACCAACGCATTTAATATTTTTGAGAAAATTAACCATTTCTGTCGGAATGTCTAAAAAAGCCCTCAAGCGGCGATATGTGAAACTAACAAAACTTCAAATATTATAATATTTGTAGCCGGAATAACTCTTTTCAATTAACCCGAGTTTGTTAAAATCGGCTCAATCGTTTCGAAGATACAGGGTGTTCTTTACGAAAACCTTTGAATACCCCCCACCACTTCATTTTTAGAGATACAGGAAAAATTGTCAAACAAAAATTGTTCAGATTATCGTCAACTTCAAAGACTGGACAATTTTTGTTAGGTTAATATAGCGGGATTCACAGAAAAATCACTTTTTTAGATTCCAGATTGCAGTTACGCCCCCTAGCGGCCATTGCAGAAACTTAAAAATATTTTCCAGGTTTTTCTCGTGGCCGTTTTAGTAATAAATTTTTTTACCGCAACGATGGACAGGTTCCCAGATACAGTACCTCGCATTCTTATTTGGTCACCCTGTACAAGAGAACATACACACCTTTAATAAATAAAACATGGAAACCTGTTGTCATGGGGCCCCCCCCCCCCCCGTGCGTTTTTGTCACATAACCTACGAACATGAAAAAGTCTTGTATTTGATTGGACAACGGAGTAATGACGTCATAATACGTCACCTCAAACGACTGGTACATCGCGATCACAATTTGTCCACCTCTATATTATAGTATAGTACCTATTATCGATAAATGGATAAGAATTCTTTTATGTAGTCATTGGGCTCGTTTTTTGTTGTTATGATGCAATCTTGTGACATACCTATCCAAAATGAACTTTACTTTCAAGCATAAACATGCCTTTCTGACCACAAACTTATGCTAATGAACGCAATATATTTCAATTTACGCTAATCCGACTTACTGTCATCTTTCAACATTGAATACCTACCGCATAAATATCTACAAATTTTTCTTTAAGTTCGTCTGTACCGCTTCTCAAAGATTTGCCTTCCAGCGCCGAAACTCCATAAATAAAAACAGCAATGCATACGGGCGACATTACGATCTGATCCCACAAAATTTTCTGCGTAATCACTTTTAACGTTCTCTGCGGGAGCGCTTTATCCAGCCACATATAAAAATAGTGATGTAAAGGACCAAACGCCAACCCGGTTATAAACATACGACCTACAAAGTAATATTACCTTTACTATACAGCAAAAAAGAGAGTTACCAACTCGCCACCAATCGTAGCGTTCCGGTATTAACTTCCTGCGATACTCGATTTCTTGTTCCATTAAATCACCCGCGACCATAAGCGCACCGGAAGTCCAAGTATTTGTAAACAATAAATGTTTTCCAAATGCATTCTTTATACTTATATGAACTGACCTTCTCGTTGAGCCTCGAACAGCATAAATGTAATTTCTTATTGGAAATAACAGTTTTTTACGCCACATTTTCCTCTCAGCAGTAACATAAATTCTAGCAAACTAGCGTCACTCAGTGTAAATAAAAATATAAATCTGATTTAATCCTTGCCGACCAAATTTAGGTTATCTGACTCACAATTTAGGTTATAGTTCAATTAAATCACACATTCGAACTACGAGTGTTACAAAGAACTACATTAGTTCGTGTAGAGGACGTATCGGTGCAATTTAAATTGATGACAATTAATAAAACTTAAAAGGCATTAGCAAAAAGGAAAACCACGAACTCTATTATCTGAAACGTTAATGAGATAACGAAGATATAACGTAAACACACAGAGTTTTCATTTGAAAACAAACCACACACATCACAGAGATTGTAATTTTGATTTTAAAAAAGTAAAAATTGAAAAAACACGTCCGTTTAGACACTTTAAAATTATCATATGCACCCTCCATCATTTTAGGGGCCATAAAACTTTTTACAAAAATACTCACAAAATGAAATTTGGATGGTTTCGGTTATGAGTCAATTTACAAAACACGGGAAATACAAAATATTGTAGCGATCCTTGTGGGACATTCTCGAGGTGACATCAAGTCGGTAAAGGATTACCTAGTTGGTCACTTGTCGAAGTGAGAAATAGTAAAAATAGCGCTCGTGTTAAACATGTGTTATAAATTTGTGTTGTGCAGTAAATGATAAATCATAATTAACTGTTAAAAAAGTCATAATTTTAGTTTGTCATTAACAAAATATTTTGAAAAAAATGTGGTATTGCTTGTTCTTTGTCGGTTCGTGCTTGTGCCCGTCCGCTCATCTGGATTCACTTTTGCGATTGTGTGAGAGGAGAGTACTCGCAGAAGGAGATGGGAAAGTCTGGAAGAAAGATCCTTTAGTAATCAAAACGTTAAGTGCGAATATCTCGGAAACGATGTGTCAAAGGAGAGTATTCACAAAAGAAAAATGAATCGTCTAGATCTAGACGATACATATATCTATCAAAATTACAATAGGCTGTGCCTTTTGAAATAGCAGAGCCCCGTGTACAGCGATTTCCGATTTTGTTTGCTTTGGTTTGACGTCACCAATGATATGTCTCGTCCTGACGTTCCACTTGCCCCGTTATATGAGCACCCTCTTCCGACATTCCCTTTTCGATTTAACTCCATCAATAGATATGTCTCGTCCAGACAATTCATTTTGCCATTCTGGGTACTTTCCTTCGACAAACCGTTTTCGAGATATTGGCTCTTAAAGCTTTGACATCACCAGTTTTTCTTCCAGACGTCCCAATCGGCCGTTGTGAGTATCCCCCTCCGACAATCTGTTCTTGAGATATAAGGAATTATTTATATCCGATCACGATAAGGGGTCGAGAAGGAGGGCTATGGTTGGTACAAAATTAATTCCTTTCGTTTAGACCTTTCATTAGAGTACCATGAAGGATAAAACCAGTTCCGCCCCGGCCCAAAGCACTAATAGGAGTCAGAAACAAAGGCGGTAAGTGGGAGAAAACAGTCTTTTGTTGAGATACTTAATATAAGAATGCCATGAAAGATAAGATTAATTTCTACCCTCTCTCTCCTCCCACCTACTGGTCTCGAAAAGGAGTGGCGCGGGAAAGTTATGATTTATACAAATCAATTCATTTCGGCGCGAGACCTTTTATTAGAATACAATGAAGGGTCGAACGTGTGTTTACCCCCCTCCAATTTTAAAAATTTTACTTGGCAATACTAAAGCCGGCCATACACGCGTCCAACGCCGTTGTACAACAATGTCGGATGGAATTGTCGTACGAAAATCGTGAAAATTGAATACAACCATACACGATCCAACAACGTCGTACAATAGAGTTGGATGTGATTTTTTTTAAAAGATCGTTCACACTGTACTCAACAGATTAACACAATATGATAATAATAAAGGTTTTTAATTTCGCTGTGTACACGGATTCTGTCGGACCGACTTGATTGTAAGCGCGCATACACGATCCAATTTCGTCCAACTGCGTCGCATACAACTCGATTGTACTGCAGCACTCAGACAAGTTTGATATTCATTCTCATCCAACCAACTTAGTCGGATGTGCCCATACACAATCAAAAATCGTACAACTTAGTCGAATTCGACAAGATCGTACGACGGCGTTGGACCGTGTATGGCCGGCTTAAAGGCATGCGTATGCAAAATGTGAGACCAGTTGGTGGTCGCATGTAAAAATAGCAATTTTTTTTATTCTTAAAAAATGCGCAATAGTGTCATTGTCAGGTTTGAATGGTTTTGTTGGTTCCTTTACAAAATACGAATCAAAAATCTACCCAACTCAACATTCTACACACATACTTATTACACGGCTCGGAAATATTTTTATACCGTGGTTAAGGTGTAGGTAGACTTCTATAAAAGTGTACGCCATTTTGGAAATTAAAGTTTGGTCGAAATCGGTTCATAATTACGAAAGTGACAGTGTTTCTTGGAAGTGATATATATACGAGTATAAATCTATAAATATACTGGTACCATTACAATACGTAGAAGAAATATGTTTTTGAATATGTTTTGCAATTGGAAAACTGAAAAATATTTAACAACTTTGCATTAGATATGCATACTTTTCATCATTAGAGATATATTTTAATCAGTGGCGCACCCATAGGGGGGGGGGGTTAACCCCCCCCCCCCCCCCCCACGAAATTAAGCACTGATAAATTTTTTAAAAATAATCTTTTCCTACAATCGTTTAAGAATCATTCCGCATGCGCAAAGTAATCAATTTGCGCACTATAATTTGCATGTTTAATCCACGGCAACCATGCAACCTGATTGTCACAATAAATTAGCAGTTTCAAATCTTGACAAATCCTGTGACAAAACTAAAAGATTCTAATTAAAATAATTAGACGATCGTAGGAAAAACGTTGTTCCTAACATGCGCGCGAAGGTGATTCCGAACCTCAAGCAGGTACCAAAACAAATTAGGTAGGTGAGGTAATTAGAAATATTAGGGTATTACTTGCCATATTAGCTACATTGTCTGTCTCTACTGCGCGTAAGGCGAACGTAGTTTTTCAACTTTGAGAAGACTCAAAAATTATTTAAGAAATAGTTCTTCCGAAAACCGAGTAAATGGCTTAACTCTTCTAAACAGAAACATGACCCCTTCTGTGGAAAATATTTTAGAGAAATTCGCACAGAAACCTAGAAAATTGAAACTTAGTTTAACTTAATATTTTTCGTCATAAATAATTTTTTTTATGTTCTGTTTTGTTTTTTTCGGGCAACGTGTAAGTATAACTGTGTTGTTTATTAAAAATATAATTTATGTTAACATTTTGGATTTACTAATTTCAATAACCCCCACCGAATTTTTTTTCTGGGTGCGCCACTGATTTTAATAATCAAGAAAGTTGAACAGATAAAGTTAAAAAGATAAGTTCAAACGTTGATTGACAAAATAAAATATACGCTTCGCCTATGAGACACAACTGACAATTTTTCTAAATTTGAATTAGGTACATTACTATTACTAGTATCATTATTATATTAATCCAATCCAAGTGATTGTAAATCGAAAATTTAACATCTTCCCCTAGACGTACATTCATACCATTCAACAGTTGCAGTTAACTTGATGCCTCCGTACTTTTTTTAGGCTCCCACCCAAAGTCCCAACCACAGACCATGGTCCCAACCCTATTGGAACCCTAAAGGTGGGTTCATAGCTCTCCGTTCATACGTTTCCGTTTGTCCGTAAAGGTGGGTTCATAGCTCTCCGTTCATCCGTTGCGTCGGTCTGTCAAACGGATAATGCATTTTATTAAGGTTCATAGCAATCCGTCCACATTGTACATTTGCAACGTATAACCATAACCTAAATTTTATTTTGTACTGTGCCCTCCGTGATTTTCAGTATGTAAAAATGGTACGAAAGTAAGAGCACATTGCTATCTGATTATTACCGTGAAGAACGAATAGGCGAACACTGTTAACGTACCAAACCTAACCTCACTCTTGTTAAAAACGGAACAACGGAAACGTAAATGTTCAACTTCAACCAACTTTTCCGTCGTAAACGGACGACGTACGATTTAAAAATTTGCTGTCTTCTGATTGGCTAACGGACAAACGGAAACGTAAGAACGGAGAGCTATGAACCCACCTTTAGCCAATCAGAACACAGTAAATTTTTAAACCGTACGTCGTCCATTTACAACGGAAAAGTTGGTTGAAGTTGAACATTTATGTTTCCGTTGGTTCGTTTTTTAACGAGAGTAAGGTTATGTTTGTTATATTGTTGACGTTTAAGAGCAAATTTAACAGTGTTCGCCTCTTACGTTCTTTGAGGTGATAATCTGATAGTAGTTTCTACGTACTGAAGATCACGGTGGGTACAGTACAAAATAAAATTTAGGTTATGGTTATACCTTGTAAACGTACGATATGGACGGATTGCTATGAACCTTAACAAATTGCACTATCCGTTTGACGGATCAACGCAACGGATGAACGGAGAGCTATGAACCCACCTTAATGGATCGTCACGGCTACAAAATAAAAATTCACAACTACGAGATTCGCAATTATATGAACTGGCAACGTTGATACGCACATTCTGAAATACCGACATCGATTAGAATACGATTCTCGATGGTACCGCCAGGTGGCTAGTATTGTCGTGCGTGCAAATGAATATGTTGTGTTTTCCCTAAACATCACTACCGTTCCTCGTAAAGTTTAACTGATAAGGTCTCAATTCTTCACTGAACGTAAAGGTAAATAAACAAATTATACCTACTAAATAACTTTTATAAATTTCGCACAATTTGAATAATGCCCGTTTTTGCAGGTGTTAAAACGAATATACAGGGTTTGGAATAAGTACATGTTATGCACATCTTCTGGATAGTATGCCCATGGTCGAAGAAGGTACTCTTGACACGGTAAGTGAACGAAAAATTAAGAACTTTTTCGCATTGGGAAAATGAAAGTGTTGATTACTTACTAATAAAACTTTCACTACTTTAATTTCGAACCGAGACGTTTTACTTTCAATAGGTACGTACTTTTGTTTTGCTTGAAAGCTCTATACTTTTATCCACATCATTTACCATATTAAATGCATTATAATATAATGTAATGTAAAAAACCTGTTATCCAACTTCTCTCCAGGTGTAACAATTAA